TCTTTTTCTAATTGACTTGTAATCGAAATTTATCATGATGAAATCAACTGGCCTAAAGGATAAGACGTCCGGTGCATTTATATCGTGCGATGCGACTGTGCCGGTGTTCGAATCCCGCAGGCGGGTACCAATTTTTCTAATGAAATACGTACTTAACAAATGTTCACGATTGACTTCCACGGTGAAAGAATAACATCGTGTAATAAAAATCAAACCCGCAAAATTATAATGTGCGTAATTACTGGCGATAGGACGTCTTGTGATCCCACACGGGTAGGTACCAACATCCTGCCTATTTCTGCCGCGGCATAGTAAAGCATTTCGGTTTAAAGGTTGTGGCAGCTGTTGTAATGTAAAAATTGAAACTTGAACTCATGTTTCAAGGTGAGCCGATGCATTTATTTTGTTGATGTCCATGAACTCAGGTGACCGGTTAACGTCAGGTGAGCTGTAAGCTCCAATCATCTGAGCAATAAATAAAGGTAAAAGCATCGCTTACTATTTCGTAAAAACAATAATATGAACGATGCAACGTTTAATTAAATCAATCAAAACTGACAAAACAATAGAATCCGGGGATATTGCAGAAAAATAATAAAAAGAGAAAATTTATGACTAAAGAAGAGCCCTACGTTTGCGCCGCTTTTCAAACTGCCAAATTTTTTTTCCTGCCTTTGCTAATAACCTCGAGGGGTTATACTAGATTCACAGAACGAGTAGGTGAGAACTCACGGGGCTTCAACCTGGTGACGTTGCTAACACTAAACCTAGCAAGAGCAGTGCTTCGCAGAATCAACCACCGGAACGGAAATGCGACCCACTGAGAAGATTCGGCGGGAAACTCAGTGGGCTGTGGGTTAGTTTACTCGCCGAGCCCTTCGTCCCAAGCGACGGGTTCGACGAGAACGATGACCGGTGCTTGAGGTACCTAAAAGCATTGCAAGTAGATCGGGAGGATCAGAAACCGGCAGGTACGCCTGCTGCCAATATACGATAGGGATTAGTAAGAACTAATTTGGTCAAACCACACAGTCGCTTAAAACTATCAGTCTGAATGTTATTTGATAACGAAGTGTTCGGAGTGAAACAAATCATGGCTCGCAGGATTGTTGTTATCATCGTTCATAGACTAGAGCTACTGCAAAATTTTATCGAAATTCGTTTTACAGTAAAATAAGTTGGCACTGTTAGCTACATATGTTTCGTGTCGAATCTGACAGCTCTTTGCTACGCTCTTGAACAATAAAAAGCTCGCACGGCCTTGCTCGATAATCTATATATTATTAAGTGAAGCAAAAACTTTTCTTATTACTTATAGTCTGTGGTCAAATTGAGAATAGATTAAATATTGTTTGTCTTTAATTTAATATTTGTCTAAAGTGTAGTCTTGGCGTTATCTGTGATTATAGAAGTATTTTATTTGATAACAGAGTCTTAATGGTGTACAAACTTATAATTTCAATTAATTCGATCGAATCAATCGAATCGGATCGATCGAACGTACGTATCTAAACAAACCGCCCTTTTTATTGCTGTTAAAGATATATGATTGGGAACCCCCTCTTGTTGAGATTACCCTAGCACGTTGATACCGACACTCACGAAGGCATAGTCTGGCCGCTATAAAGTGTTCATAAAGCCTCGTTTGAGGAGGGCGACTTTCTATACGAAGGAATGATCTCCTCTAATTTCGCAGTATTTATTAATTTGTATACTACAGCCTGCTTGGTATTATAGGAAACAGTCTCGCGGTACAGTGTAAAGAATCTGATATTTATTCTAAGACATGACTTTTATTCACGTTTTTAAAAAACGAAATGTCTAAAAGTATCTCTCCGATGGACTTTAAATTTAGTAGTATTAGACACTGCAATGTAAGCGCTCATTGAAATCGGATACTACGTAAATTCGATCCAGGATGGATCGTTTTTATCTATCATCACATACACAATGATGACCACGACCACTCTGTCAAGGGTGCAAGTAACTGAGAAGAAGAAATCGCATACTTACTATAGTGACTGTTTCTATAGCAATGGTAGTTTACGGACTAAAGAGTGGTTGGTACAAGTGACGCTCCATTCCGGGAAATTACAACGTGTTCCATTATTTTTGAGTTAGAAATTGAACGTCAGTGAAATCGGGACGATAGTCTGGTAATATGTAGCGATTGTTCTACTCAGAAAAGTACCTTTACTTTGAGAACCGCAACGCATAGCCACAGAAATAGGTACAGTGATAGCACCAGCCTGTGAATGCACGCAATGCACCCATTACCAGTATTTAAAAAGCTCGACTCTGTGAGATTACATGACTCCCGGCTACTGAGTGACTTCGAAATTTAATTGCCTAAAACTCGAGACTATAAATAACAAATTAGTTGTTACAAAACGTAGCCCACTGAATTTCTCGCCGAATCTTCTCGGTGGGTTGCCATTTCAAACCGGTGGTAGATTTAACGAAGCGCTGCCTTTGCGAGGGCTAATTCACCAGGGCGAGTCCGGTGAACTCGACCACATGTTCGGTGAAGCTAGTATTACTCTTTGAGGCTACTAGCATAGGTAGGAAAAAAAACGCTCAATCAAAATGGAAACCCTTGTCCAAATTTTATTGTTTTACCAAATTCTACGGTGCCTACTTCCAAGAGGAATCACTTGGATATTCCAAAAGGTGAGCATTAGATAAGAGACTATTCCCCCAAAATCCAATCAATTCTTGCAATCGACGTCTAATATTAAAATGTTATCGTTGTCGAGTTATTCAGGCGATCGGCCTCATTCTGACGCGAGCCGACAGAGATCGCGCCGAGGTGCGGCCGGCACGCAAACTATTCTGGTTCTTGGCGCGATGCCCAGTTTAAAAACGCCTTCCAATATCACGGCGAAATGATGGAACGTTTTGCGGATTTTTACGATGAGCTTTACCGTCTGGATTGCTTTTTGATATCTTTGACTAATACGATGGTAAATGACGGTAAAGTTCATAAGTGGTTGATTCGTGGAGGGGAGCTCATTCCAAAGCCGGATGGTACGTTTTTTTTATTTATTGCTGAGATGGATGGACGAGCTCACATTCCACCTGGTGTTAAGTGGTTACTGGAACCCATAGACATCTACAACGTAAATGCGCCACCCACCTTGAGATATAAGTTCTAAGGTCTTAGTATAGTTACAACGGCTGTCCCACCCTTCAAACCGAAACGCATTACTGCTTCACGGCAGAAATAGGCAGGGCGGTGGTACCTACCCGTGCGGACTCACAAGAGGTCCTACCATCAGTAATACGTGGCAAAAATGATCTCTGGAAACGCACTGTGGATGAACGCAGTGGCTCCAGGTAGTATGGATGAACATTACTCCGGTGGCGGGTGGTGCGATAGTAAAAACGAGATGATGGTGTCATCTCAAACAATTCCTCGGTACGTTTGTAGGCAGCGGCTCGGCTCTGTCCCTGGCATTGCTGACGTCCATGAGCAACGGTAACCACTTACCATCCGGTGGGCCGTATGCTCGTCTACCTGTTCGGGCAATAAATAAATAAAAAAGATTATCCCGTCCAGCCTAATCTAATTGTAGTTTTGGAAGATTTATTTAATTCATCTTAATGATCTGATCATTTTGAGCCCAAGACCTATTGAACGTTAAGCGGTGGCTGGATCCATGAACAGCATTGTGATTGTCAGGGCCCCTGTCCTATCCTCGCATTAGAATTGCATGATAACTTTATAACAACATCAGGTAGTACAGATGATATAAGAAGATATACTAAAGGCCTCATTACTGGTGGTAGGGGTATTGTAAGCCCAGATTCCAACATCTTTCTTTCACGAAGCAACCATGTGTTCTGGCTAACAACCACTCAACAAACGTACACAAAGGGAAACAACATATTTTGTGAAATTTTACTTTTATCTATGTCTATACTAATATTATAAAGAGGAAAGATTTGTTTGTTTGTTTGTATTGAATAGGCACCGAAACAACTGAACCGAATTGAAAAATTCTTTCACTGCTTGGAAGCTACACTATTCCCAAGCGACATAGGCTATAATAGTCTTTTTTGAAAAAAATTAGGGATCCTTACTAAAACTCCAATAATGTAACCCAAGGTGTAAAAAAATACCTAAAACTGACGGATAAGCAATAGACTATTGATGATAGAATAAAATAATGTACTACGACATTGTAGAACACATTACTAATTACAAAAAGTATCGGGACCGCATAATGTCTAACTATTATAGTTATGCCGCAATAAGTGTTCTTTTATTTAAAAAAATAAACATAAACGTCCAATATCGTTGAAGTTTTTATTCAAGACCCGAGCGGAGCCGGAGCGGGCTGCTAGTGTACTAATAATCTTCGATCGTTCTAATATTATTTTATTTAATCTGATTGAATTTGACTATTTAGGTCCATCGTGCGACATGACAAAAAAAAGTTTCAAAAAATTAAGTTTTTCATTTCGGAAAATATTATCATCACGCTAATATAAATTATATTACTGTACTTAACACGATTTTATTTGAAAATATTTCAAACTACCAGTTCCATCTGTTTGAACTATCTGATAATAATTTGTAAGAGTTTCCAAAGCGATTTAACAAGTTTAGTTCTTCTGAAACATTGTAGATGGCGTATGCTTGATTCGTTCTAGTTTTAATTTACACATCATCTTTCTATATTCACTTTCAGTTTCAGGAATCGTGTATCTTTTCAAATGCTAATTTAAAATAAACTGGATAGATGGCGTTGATATACAAAAATTTATAACTAGGAATAATAGATGGCGTTATCACAATGAAGACTATATTATATTACTAGATCTTTCATGAAGACTGAAATATGGCGTTATCGTTAATTTAATATCAATAGGTCTCGTCCGTAAAGACTTTATGCTGTTTAATATTTGCATTTATAATTATTTTTATTGTTGCTAAAAATTCCAATTAATGACTCGAGCGTGTACGTAAATCTGAAGATTCACTTGTCAAGACTGACCTGAAAGTATTTCTTCACGACTGGATCGTTAGCTAGAAGATACTGGGCTCTTGGCTCGTCGCGGCAGTAAGCGACGTGCTTGTCGAACTCCCGCTCCATGCGAAGAAGCGCTCTTCCTAGCATTCGAGGCTCACCAGCATAGTACTTAATGCCTTCAAGAAGAACGCTGTGAAAAAGTTATACGGAATCAACAAGGAATTGAATCTTTCAATCTTAAGCTGTACAAATAGACACTAGCCTACCCTTAAGGTCCTACTACCTTTGAGAGAAAAAGGAACGTACCATACTCAGAATTATTAAAGCCCTGTTTGAAGAAGGACATTTCATAGCACACGGAAAAATACTCCCAGAGGAGCTGTGCATATTAGAGCCCGATGGTGTGTGGGGAAAATTAGCACTTTCATATACAGTTAACGAATGTTTGATGGTGAGCAGATTGTTTTCCGTTTGAATTTTGAACAAAAATGGATACTTGCTGCATTGGCAGGGCTCAAAAGTTGAGCCTTTTCTTTATTATCTCTATTATCAATACAATAGAGACAGCCTTTTGAGCCCGTATTGGTTGATACCACCTTATAGCTAAAATCTACCGTGAAGTTATTATGTTTTCAGGCTAGTAGCTTCAAAGGGCACACAAAAGCACGTCATTACGGATCTTCCCGATCCATTGACGGTGCTTTTAGGTACCTCAAGCACCGGTCGCCGTCTTCGCCGAACCCGTTGCTTGCGACGAAGGGCTCGGCGAATAAATTAACCCACAGACACAGCCCACTGAGTTTCTCACCGGATCTTCTCAGTGGGTCGCATTTCTGTTCCGGTGGCAGATTCTGCGAAGCACTGCTCTTGCTAGGGCCAGAGTTAGCAACACCTCTGGTTTAAACCCCGAGAGCTCACCTATATGCTAGAGTAACGTTTACATATCCTCTCAAAGCTATCGGCATAGGTAGAAGAAAAAAGGCACGCAAAGGAATTGATATAACGCTCCTAAGGCTAAAAGTTGGCGGCAGTCTACGTCTTGAGGATTAATCGGCCTTATAGCCCTTCAAATTCCAATAAGAAAAAACAAACATACGTATTATGAAACTCGCAGATCTGCCTGAAGTTGGAGAATAACAGTTCACGATTATCGAAGACCGGTTTCGGTGCGGTGGCCTTGTCGATGGGCTTCATGTACCGGGAAACGACCTGCTGCATATCTCTCCCGAACTCCTCTTCCGTCTCGATCAGTTCGCGAACCACGGCCCTGAAATGAATTTTTATTTACCTGAATTTTTGTTTATTTTTTGTATAATATAAGTTATTGTTAATGTTTGTCTGACCCGTCGTTTTCTCAGCTTTTGAATATCTCATGTTAGATCCCATTGATTTGTAACATTTCAAGTGATACGGTTTATTTAATAATGTGACAGTTTCAGATTTACAAAATTAGCCTTCGGTGGGTGGCGAGTGAGTAAAAAAGAAAAATTGGGAGTGTATGATGGATGAACAATAGTCACAACGAGGCGTAGCAGACTTTTATTCAATTTAGTGAATAAAATTTTTTATTACTTGAATTTTGTTGAATTTTAATTTCAATTTAGTTCCTACAGTATGTATAAATGTGTAGTAATACAAAAATATTTATTTTAGAATCAAAAGTAAATCAATTTCGTCGTAATTTTAAAAGGATTATGTGGTAATGTTTTAGGAATTGTTTGTAATAATAAATCTATTAATAAATTCGCGATTGGTGAGTTCAAGATCGAGTTGAAAATTAAAGGTACGGACTTATGCAATCGCACCGACCAAATATTTGTAATTTTTCAATCAACAACATTTAATTTATTGGCGCGTTGATGATTACTGCTAAGACGGTAAAATGATAAACATTTCAATAAATTACGAGAATTACCTCAGTGACTCAGTGTGCTAGCATTCGAAAGATATGCCAAGAGTGGTGGGCGAGTGTGAATGAATGGAATTGTGAAAAGACCATGAAGTAGTTTGCTTTTAGCGAAACTTCTTTAACCGGATTTTTTAAGTTCATCGTTAATATTTGTATTTGAAACCTAAACTTGGCGGAAATAACTGTTATTGAACCGTAATCAACTAGTTTGTTTCATAATATGAATAAAATAAGAGGACCCCTAGAAAGGTAAATGGAGTGGTGCTCTACGTAGATTTTTTTTCTTCTAAAAACGAAAGGCGCTGCCGCTTTCAATCATCAAAATAAATAAATTAATAAATAAACATTTCACGCAGATTACGCCGTAAAGCTGGTTTGGATAAACTATTTGCCATTCTAAGCTTATCTTAATAGAGGTCTAGCCTCGCCTTCAAGTGGTCATCGTCCAACAATTGTCCGACTTGAACATCAACAGATGGTAGGTCTTTTTGTGAGTTCACATCGGTTAGTAATACACAACATACATTTTATTTTATTAAATACATTTTATTATATTGCAATAGATTAGCAATGGGAACAGTATTACCATCTGCAAGCTTACTTTGCTAAAAAAGACTTAATGTAAAGCAGGGATTCCCAAACTTATTTTGTCTACTGCCCACTTTGAGAATAAATTATTTTTTAGCGCCCCCTTTTTTAACCTACTTAAAAACCACTATAGCTCATTCGGTGTCTAAGAGTCCTCCTAGATGAAATCACAAATCGCCTCCCAAGCCTCTACACAACGCCCCTATTTTTTTCTGGGTGTCTTACCGCCCCCCTTTAGGCCTGCAGCGCCCACAAGGGGGCGTTATCGCCCACTTTGGGAAAGGCTGATGTAAAGTAACAAATTATCGCTCGTAGACACAACGGCCGGATGCTATCAAATAACTGTTTGGCAACAAACAGGACGGTAACGAGACAAGTGCTGATCTAATTGGGCGTTTGTATGATTTATTAATCGAACGCATATGTTGCGCTTACATACTGTGGATATTTCAAGCCTCACTCAAATTTTGGCTCTTTCACGAATTTCGATTGGCAAATGGTTTATCTTGACGACATACATGCGATCAAGAAACTTTGTGTATTTTGGAAATGGAAGCCAGCTCTAATTAAAAAAATAAACAACTTTTACAGGCGTAAGTACGACTCTTCATAAAATTTCTCAAAATTCACCTTTTCATTGCGTTTTCACAGAATTTCACAAAATTCTCTATAGATTTAAGAAATATGTCAAGAACCATTTGCGTTACAATTGATAATATGAAGTAACAGATTATTTATTAGATGGCCCTTAATGAAAATGTGACGTTTGAATCCGATGTTTTCATATTCTTATTTTAATTATTGCTTATTGTGTAGGATTACTTTTTTTTATTACTTAGATGGGTGGACGAGCTCATAGCCCACCTGGTGTTAAGTGGCTACTGGAGCTTATCGACATCTACAACGTAAATGCGCCACCCACCTTGAGATATAAGTTCTAAGGTCTCAAGTATAGTTACAACAGCTGCCCAACCCTTCAAGCCGAAACACATTACTGCTTCACGGCAGAAATAGGCAGAGTGATGGTACCTACCCGTGCGGACTCACAAGAAGCCCTACCACCAGTTACATTATATTTTTGTAATGTAACTTGAAAAAAAGTTATTTGGGCTTCTTTAAAAATACAAGATGACAATAAAAAGAGACAAGCCCGCTCAGTTTGTTTCACCGGCTATTTTCAGGTTTGTGGACTCTTTTTGGGACACCTACATTTCATGACATTAAATTCGAAATTTATTATTCTGAATTTGAAGAAGACAGTCCATTTTTAGCGTCTCTTTTCCATAATTTCACCAGTCGCACTACCCAAAAATGAAAATTAAGGAAACGTGAAACAACACATGGCCGGACAAGAAAAAAACGTAAAACCTGATTATAAAATTCTGAATGCGGTAAAATAAATTACTCATACTTTTAATTCAACAGAAAACATTTAAACATTATTTGTTAAAATTATTACATGACCAAAATCATTTTCTACCTACACAACCTTAACTTTTTTAGGAATTAGCGAAACAAAAATAATTAGATAAATCAGGAAACAGATAGTAATGAGATGAAGTTTTACATTTGGCATTGTCTTACTATTGAAGCTTTAAATGTAATAGCAGTCACTTCAGGTGTAGGTGCAACCTGACAGTTTGCCAAAACACTCTAAATTCTTGTTGTGTATTACAGTACACGCCGTGGCATTCGACTGCTGTCCCAAACAAAGTCGTAACGCTATGTACAAAATGAAGATTGATCGGGACATAACAGCTTTTCTTATGATTTTTACGATATTATGACATGAATCAGGAGATCCTGGTTTTTTTTTTCGGGTAAGGAATCGAACCTCCTACGAGGTCCCCACGCCTAGGGGGCGCGCGGGGTATGTGGGACTGGTCCGCGACTGCAAGATCCGATCTCCGTCCGGGGTCAGAACCCGGTCAGAGTAGGGGGCTTTCCGCGGTCAACACTACAACCAGACGGGAGATCCTGGCTACCTCAAGTTATTACCTTTTCTCTGTCGTGCAATTCACTCTTAACTAATGTGTATTTTGTTTTGTAAATTTCTCTAGGCCTAAGGTATGAGGAGACGGTGTATTCATATTGAATTGTGCGACTATGCTGGGTCTCCAAATTTTCCAAACAGGTATCAATTTTGAATACGTACTGAACGCGTCATTGTCACGACGTATTTCAATGACGAGGCAATAAAGTATAATTAAAAAAAAAGAGGCATAATTATATGTTTGCGAAACCAGTTAATAGGCCTTTATTCTTGTCAGCTCGCACGGGTGGGTATCAGCTTCCTTTTTTTTTTTTCGGGTAGAGGGCCGAACCTCCTACGAGGTCCCCACGCAAAAGGGGCCCGCGGGGTATGTGAGACTCAACGATCTGCATGGTGTTGTGAGCAGACCGCGGGCCCAAGAATTTTAGAGCCCACCCACTAAACGACTCCCCTGCACTCTTACACCGGACGTCCGATCCCCTCCGAGGTCAGAACCCGGATGAGGTAGGGGGTTACCGCGGTCAACACTACAACCAGACGGCGCGGCTCAACCCAAGGACGCCCGGCCGACGGAGCCTTCGAGGCGGGGTATCAGCATCCTGCCTATTCCTACTTCGAAGTAGTCGTGTGTTAAGTTTAATATACACAGGCACAATTAATAAACATTACAGCTAAGACTTCGATTCAAACTACACGATTGCTCTCATTTTATGATGTTTACATACACAACGGGGCCGCCTTTATACTATTCAATTGAGATTTGGAGCTCATGACTCAAAACCTCAAGACGGATGGCGGCATTCGCGTCGCGATGTCCACGGGCTGTGCCAACACCAGGTCGGCCGTGAGGTCATCAAACTCCCTATGGGGGGACTAGTTAGTAAGGCTAAACGTAAAATTAGCTAGAAGAAGCTAAATTGTACAAAAATAACGAATAAAGTGTCAACAGTAAATAAGATTAATTAAGCATTCCTCTTTAATCTTAACTTCAACATTTAAGTAGGTTAACAAATCAACTCATTTCCCTGTAGTATAATTTGGCAGTTAGAATACATTCATCAAGTCATAATGAGCATCCAGTGGCCCTTTATTTTTCCATACATCACTTTAATTACGGCTATAACAACAAAAAGGTTACACTTCTTGACGGTTTTTAATCGTAGAGCTTATTTTTATGGTGCAAATCACCAAAATATTTTGTTTCTTTTAAAATTTCCGTGTAAGGATTAGTTGTGATATATTATAGTCGATATTTTAATACAGTATACAAATCTGTGCAGCCTTTTTAATATTAGGACTTGGAATAATAAGAACTGTCGCTAAACATCATTAAAATTTGAGTTGCGAGATCGTTTATCAACTTTTTTATTTTTATTTCTTAGATGATTTGAAGTCGTCGTAGCCTAAAGGATAAGACGTCCGGTGCATTCGTATCGAGCGATGCAATGGTGTTCGAATCCCGCAGGCGGGTACCAATTTTTCTAATGAAATACGTACTTAACAAGTGTTCACGATTGACTTCCACGGTGAAGGGATAACATCGTGTAATAAAAATCAAACTCGCAAAATTATAATTTGCGTAATTACTGGTGGTAGGACCTCTTGTGAGTCCGCACGGGTAGGTACCACCACCCCGCCTATTTCTGCCGTGAAGCAGTAATGCGTTTCGGTTTGAAGGGTGGGGTAGCCGTTGTAACTATACTGATACCTTAGAACTTATATCTCAAGGTGGGTGGCGCATTTACGTCGTAGATGTCTATGGGCTCCAGTAACCACTTAACACCAGGCGGGCTGTGAGTTCGTCCACCCATCTAAGAAAAAAAAAAGATGAATGGACGAGCACACGGCCCACCTCGTGTTGAGTGGTTACCAGTCAATTACGTCAACACTGTAAATACCGCTACCCAACTTGAGACATGAGTTCTAAGTCTCAATTTGACAGTACAACGGCTGCCCCATCTTTCAAACCGAAACGCATTACTGCTTCACGGCAGAAATATACAGGGTGGTGGTACCTACCCGTACGGACTCACAAGACGTCCCATTATCAGTAGAACTTACGTCGTTCTACTATATTTAATGATGATACAGTAGAAAACAAACTGTTCCCTTCAAACTGGAATGCGCAACTGGTTTGCCGTCGAGATAGGCACGTTAGTGATGACAACTCATGCGGACTTTCCGGTCTCCGTCCTCGCCGGACCTGTCGCTTGCGACGAAGGGCTCGACAAGTGAATTAACCATACAGCACACAGCCCATTGAGGTTCTCACCGGATCTTCTCAGTGGGTCGCGTTTCCGATCCGGTGGTAGATTTAGTGAAACACTGCTCTTGCTAGGGCCAGTGTTAGCAACACTCCCGGGTCCTCCCCGTGAGCTCACCTACACGTCAAGGCGAAGCTGAAATAGCCTCTCAAGGCTATCAGCACAGATAGGAAGAAAAAAAAGCGGACTCATAACATTTCATAACACCAATCCGCTTCACGGTAGGCAGCGGCTTGGCTCTACCCCTGGCATTGCTGAAGTCCGCGGGCGACGTTAACTACTCACCATCAGGTGGGCTGTAAACTCGTCTGCCCACAAGGGCAAAAAAAAAACACTGGTTCTAAAAAAACCGTCATCAAATTGGCGCGTGCTTGGTTTCACTGCCCGCTACTGTCACTGTATTTTATTTTATTGCTTTTGAAAAATCAAAACATGTTGTCAGTCACGTAACGAAAATGAGGTGTGTGTAATAAGGAAATGAAGCAAATTAAGGGTGCCGAGCCCTTTATGACTTGAACCTTCGCGTAAACCTTGGTATCTGTTGACAATGTGCTGTCTGGTTTAGGGTTGGCAACTGCTAGTAAGGAAATTATTATTTCGAGTATTATCGTTTCATCAGCTGTAAGAGATAAAGAGAAAAAAAGAGTTGAGAGGAATTCTAAGCGACAGGTAGATTAGCTATAGCATCAGTGTATTGCTGATACACGTGAGCGACCAAAAAAAATTTCTAGGTAAGCTAAGTAATGCTAGTAATGAAGAGAAGTGTGAAGAGTAGTGGCGAAACAGGTGTGACAGTTTTGTACATGGTGCTTAATAGCCCCTCATCAAAATATGCTATTGTATTCGGCGGTGGGAAGCATTATCGAGTGGTGTATAACGAATGATGTTCTGAGAGGGCATTTGCTCCATCAAAAAAAAGCATGCATCTGTCAACTTAGTTAAATAACTTTAGAAATAACAACTGATTACTTCTTAACAATATCTGATTCATCCGATCGATCCGATCGTCATTTTTATTAGTGTCAACGTCACGACATTACAACTATAAGTATTAAAGGTAAAAAATAGAAGAAAAATAAATTAACAAATACTAGACGAGGTATAGGAAATGAAATAATAACATTTTCTTAGGTTTTTACGACTCGTCGATAGGTATTCCGAAAAGAAATTGGAGTTTTTTGTTTTTTATTTAAATTAATTCTCAATGTGACGTTTCGAAAAGTGGTTACTATCTGAAGTTAAGTTAAATTAAGTTAAGGCTTTAGTAATCAAGGATTCCAGATGACCACGACTACTCTGCCAAGAGTAACCGACTATATTATTATGGTGTTGAAGTTAAAATAATAACATCAGTGTACAATTAATAGAATTTCAAAAGATTTTCATCTGATTAAAAAGCATATATTTGTTTAAGTTAGGCACGTATTTATAATCTTGATAAAATACTCGGGACGATTTAAAAATATATATTATACGAATTGAACTGTCAAAACATGCAAACGAAAAACATATCTTACATAACTAAGTTGGCAACCTTAATTTAATCTGACGCTTACGACAATTCATTAGCGAAAATGCAAGTCTTTACTGCGCGAATATTTTTGGCGTGTGCTCGCTCCCGTGGATTACAAAGTTGCTGGACGAAAGATTTTCATCAATACGCATATATTATTATAATTAACAGCCGGTTCGACCCAATAGCCGTAGGGTTGTTGACTTGACCTATTTTAAAGTTTGCGGTTAGCGGTAGGCGGCGGCTCGGCTGTGCTGGCGTCCATGAGCGACGGTAACCACTTACCATCTAGTGAACCGTGTACTGAACTGTATACAAGGGAAATAAAACAAAAATGTTTTTTTTGTGCACACTAAAAATGTATGAATAACAAAAAAAATGAAGTGAATCGCTGAAAAGGTTCAGGGATTGAAAAAAAAAAAAAAAGGGATCGATTTGGACTCTGATGGCCGTCGTAGATTGTAATGATTCTCCGTCGACTGTCAAACTTAAATGATATCATAATCTTGTTTCTGAATTATTTCTTAATCTGTTGCAAACCCGTTTAGAAGCGTTTTAAGACTGACCTCGTACCTCAATCTTCTATGTCAACTGAAAAGCAATTAGGTGTTTAGGTGTTCCGGTTTCGCCAACTTTTTGAGTAAATATCTGCCAGTAGCCTCGAGGGAGTATTCTAGCTTTATCTTGATTAGTGGACGAGCTCACGGGGCTCAGCAAGAATTTGCTAAAACCTGCCGTAGCAAGAGCTGAATCTGCCACCGGTACGAAATCGCGACCCACCGAGAATATCCGACGAGACACTTGGAGCGTTGTGTCTAATTGGCACTTCAACCAATTTAATTAAAACTTCGACTCATCGAATTCCATACGTGGACGGCAATTCACACGCTGATGTTCCCAGTCTTTTAACAGCGGCATACGAAGTTGATAATTGAACATTGCAAAAATTCTGACCAGAGAAGCACACGCGAAATTTATTTTAAAAAAAGATCAAAGGAGTTTCTGTCGTGAAAGATTTTAATCGCAAAGTTCACTGATCCACATTTTACAGTTACGAGTATGTCAACCAACAATAAAATATGAAAAAGCACATAACTCCTCACGCGAACGCTCCGAGTGGTCCTTTGATGATGCCAAAGTGAAGTCAACCTTGTTTCTCGGTGATTATGACGAAGATTTACGAACCGTTTCGGTGTGTTACCCATTTGGTAAAGTGATACGTTGAAAGTAATATATCATTTGGGAGCGGCTATATGTGTTCATTACCGAAACAAAAATCAAGGCAGAGCTTATAATTCATTTTATATTATCATGTTTATTGGTCAAGCCGAGAACCGAATGAAGTATAAGACGATTGTACAAGGAGCCACGAAGACGTTTCAAGGACATGACCTTCCTGCCGCCATCTACCTTTAGATATAAGTTCTAAGGTCTCAGTATAGTTACAACGGCTGCCCCACCCTTCAAACCGACACGCATTACTGCTTCACGGCAGAAATAAGCGGGGTGGTGGTACCTACCCGCGCGGACTCACAAGACGTCCTACCACCAGTGATTACACAAATTCTAATTTTGCGTATTTGATTTTTATTACACGATGTTATTCTTTCACCGTGGAAGTCAATCGTGAACATTTGATAAGTACGTATTTCATTAGAAAAATTGGTACCCGCCCGGGATTCGAACACTGTTGCGTCGCTACATACGAATGCACCGGACGCCTTATCCTTTAGGCTACAACGACTTCAAATTCTTTATAATACAACCACCCACCTTTATAATAATGTAATCTAGAGAAGTAATATCTTGAACTTAATGCCATCTTGAAACTCGAGATTCCAGTTTCAATTGTGGCTGACGAAATATGGCCGCGTGATTTCTTCGCCACATAATGGCGGTGCCTATGCGCGCAGGAGCATTTTCAACAATATAGCGCTTAGATAATTATTACAGGTGGTAGGACCTCTTGAGAGTCCGCGCGTGTAGGTACCACCACCCTGCCTATTTCTGCAGTGAAGCAGTAATGCGTTTCGGTTTGAAGGGCGGGGCAGCCGTTGTAACTATACTTGACCACTTAACACCAGGTGGGCTGTGAGCTCGCCCACCCATAATATAAAATAAAAAAAAGTTATAGCTCACTGTCGCCTGGCAGCGAGGGCAGTCTGATCATCCTCCGATGTCTGCTTCTCGTGCAGCACGCTAGCCGGCACCAGACCCTGTCGCGTCGTTATCTCGCCACCGCTGACGTCTTCTATCACACGCACTAGCCATCTGGAAGTAAAAAAAAGCATCGAATGAATGAAAGAAATAAACAGATCGTTTATTATCTAGAAACTTCAAAACTTCGTAGTTTCAAGAAAAAATTAAGAAGAAATCAAAATTTAATCTGTTCAGATTTTTTAAGTTTTAAACCTAAATATTTTATGTTAGACAGAGCACAGATTATAATTCGCTGCATATCTATATATTAATACGTGAAGCAAAAACTTTGTATCCCTTTTTACGAAAATTGCGCGGACGGAGGAGTATGAAATTTTCCACACGTATAAAGAATATAGAGAAGATAATGCTAATATTTTTTTAAAATAATGCATAAAAGATACATTAAATCAATAAAAAATACATTATACACAATACCATGTATTTGACACACACACATATACTCTTTGTTTATTGTCAAACTTTTGTTATTGCTTAGTCTATAGTCAAATTGAGAATAGGTTAGTATTGTTTATCTTTAATATTACGAGTATTTGTCTAAAGTGTAGTCTTGGCGAAATCTGTAACAATAGGACCTTAATAATGTTGAAACTTATAATTTCAATTCATTATAGTCGAATTTCGACTACTGCGGGACCACTAGTATTAAATAATTACGTCAATGTTGAATTCCATTATATAATATTTCTATGGCAAAATTTGCTTCAAGAATGGAACTTTTATTTCTGATAATATATTTAATTTTACTAACCTAAATAATTTACTTAAGACCAATATTAACTGAAATTAAATATTCTTCACTTAGACACATCTACACAAGATATTAAAAAAAAGACAATTTCACGGCGATCCATTCTCACAAAGATAGTACAATACAAAATTAACAAAACACAGTGGCCAGAAAAAAAACAACCTAAGTCCGCAGAGAATAGCAGCGAATTTCTAAAAATAATTTCTGTACTAATATTTACATGGAAACTACGGCACAAAGTCAATGTACCTACACGTGACCTAAAAATCATTTTAATGCTTGTCCCTATTTCCACAGTCCACGAAACTCGTCGCTGTCAATCTTTATAAGAGGAAGTGACGTGGCCGGGTCAATGACCGGCGGGTCGACGAACTAGACTGCCTAGATCCAAGTCTAGATTTTAATAGAGCAATCAATGTCAACTGCGCTACAAGAACTGTTTATTATCGAGGGAAATGTTCTCCCGCAATACCCTCTTTCACACACTCACTCCAAGTCAATATGCCCCCTCCTTACATTGCCTCACATCGCGATGACTCAATTGACGTTAATAAATCTTTTCGATTTTCCCTAATTTACAGTGGTTCAAATAATTGTAATGTTAAATGTCAAATATTTTTTTTATTCTGCCCATGAGGGGTCTAATTAATTATATAGCAAATATGGTGGTAGGACCTCTTGTGAGTCCGCGCGGGTAGGTACCGCCACCCTGCCTATTTCTGCCGTGAAGCAGTAATGCGTTTCGGTTTGAAGGGTGGGGCAGCCGTTGTAATTATACTTGAGACCTCAGAGCTCATATCTCAAGGTGGGTGGCGTATTTACGTCGTAGATGTGTATGGGCTCCAGTAACCACTTAGCACCAGGGCTGTGAGCTCGTCCATCCAGAACAGCAAAAAAAAAAGAAAAAATTTTTTTTGTGCATGATGTCCATAGTCCCTATATGGAACAACGGTGAAATTGCAAAACTCAAACCTACTACTGACCTTCTCACATGCTAGCCATTTCAATCGATATACCAACACGAACCAAGCTCTAATATTATTAAATTCTCGACGTAAAATATAGCAGCCGTCAAAACGAAGCAATCATAAAAATGTTATAACACATATTTAAAAGAAGTAGGAGACCGATTTTGCTTAAACACAAAGATACAGATTACCATTATAAATGTTCTACCTGAATGTGTCTTTTAATCGTAACAAGCGGCCCGCTCCGGCTCCGCTCGGGTCTTTAACAAAAATTTCAACGATATTTGATGTTGTTTTATTTTTTTAAATAAAAGAACACTTATTGCGGCATAACTATAATACTTAGACATGTGCTGTCGCGACACTTTTTCTAAATAAAAATGTGTTCTACAAAGTCGTAGTACATTATTTTATTCTATCATCAATAGTTTTCGCAGGGCACGCGATGTAAAGAATATTTTAGGTAATTTCTTTACACCTTGGGTTACATTATTGGAGTTTTGGTAAGGGTCCGTATTTTTTTTCCAAAAAAGATTATGCCTATGTCATTTGGGAATAATGTAGCTTCCAAACAGTGAAAGAATTTTTCAAATCGGTTCAGTAGTTTCGGAGCCTATTCAATACAAACAAACAAACAGATCTTTTCTCTTTATAATATTATAGTATAGATAACATTGTTGTTTTAAATTGTTTGCCCGCCTCATTTGTATTCGCACGCTTCCTTGTAAACGTTCGAATTATGTCGTGTTTTTATTTTATTATCGTTCATTTATAATTGGTAACGACGCGGTAAATCGATGGAATGCGCGCTTTGAAGTTCGTCTGAATTTATTATCATTATAGTCCGAATAAAGAATTCGCACACTAGTTACAATTTGTCTTATATTATATCATCATCAATTAAACAGTAAACAGCCATACGGCATTTCAACGACGCGCTAAAATATGTACCTTTCTAAGATAACCTGAAATATAATTTGTCTATAAACTGTCATGTCTATCTTGTCTCAAGGTTCACGCTGTGATGTCTACGGATTCCACTTGACCACTTACAGTTTTTTTATTGCTTAGATGGGCGGACGAGCTCACAGCCCACCTGATGTTAAGTGGTTACTGGAGCCCATAGACGTCTGACGTAAATGCGCCACCCACCTTGGGATATAAGTTCTAAGGTCTCAGTATAGTTACAACGACTACGCCACTCCTCAAACCGAAACGCATTACTGCTTCACGGCAGAAATATGCAGGGTGGTGGTACCTACCCGTGCGGACTCACAAGAGGTCCTACCACCAGTAATTACGCAAATTATAATTTTTCGGGTTTGGTTTTTATTACACGATGTTATTCCTTCACCGTGGAAGTCAATCGTGAACATTTGATAAGTACGTATTTCATTAGAAAAATTGATACTTCCCAGCGGGATTCGAACACCGTTGCATCGCTCAACACGAATGCACCGGACGTCTTATCCTTTAGGCCACAGCGACTTTAAATTATTTTTAATACACCTACCCACCTTTACAATACAGAACGTTTCCAACAATCATAACACACATCGCTTATGTCAACTGTGTTAGAAGAAAATTCAAAAACAATTTCCTTTTCGCTCGATAAAATATGAAGGCGAATTACACACCACATCAAACGCACGAATGTAATACAGCAATAAAACTATATTCAAAGTAGTACGTTTTTTTGTACAATTGTTATAATTTATTCAAACAAGTACTTAGCGTCACGTTGTCCGGTGGAAAGCGGCCAAGTGACACAAACGTATTTTTCCAACTCCATATAACCATTTTATCATTATTAAAAATTTCCAAGAACAATATATTTGTTGCCTTTGATTATTGCGGGTTCTAAGGAAACGATGTCAGCTGTATTATTTGATGTTTAAAAAATTGTTTTGGCTGAGGTTGGATAGGAAACTAGAGAAGAGCAATGAGTTCATGGGAGTGCAATGGGTTCACAGATGCAGACTTTTTTTTTAGATGGGTAGACGAGCTCACTGCCTACCTGGTGTTAAGTGGTTACTGGAGATATAAGTTCTAAGGTCTCATGTATAGTTATAACGGCTGCCCCACCCTTCAAACCGGAACGCTTTACTGCTTCACGGCAGAAATAGGCAGGGCGGTGGTACCTACCCGCGCGGACTCTCAACAGGTCCTACCGCCAGTAATCAATCTAGCTAATGAATTCTAAACTAGTTCCCGACCACAATATTCGAATTCACAATATTCGTTTGACATTCGACCTATATTGCAACAAAGTTGTCTAATTTACATTGCGATCAGCGACAACATTGCTGTGCGCTAAATACGTGCGTACAGCTCACTACATTTAGCCCTGTATCAGTTTAAATGAGCCAGCTTATAGCTCACTAACTTCACACTTAAAATAAACTCTAAAATTGTATATCGCCAGTAGGTTAATACTATTTGCCTGTGCGGTTGCTAGTTTCGGAAACACATTAAACATATTTTATGCCACTTTTACGGTCGAAATGTCGGAAATAATATAGTGACAATAAAAAAGGGAGATTAAACAGTGAAATTAGTTTTAATTACTTCTTTTTATTTATTTTTTGCATTGACTGGTGGAGGAGCTCACAGTCCAAATGGTGTTAATTGGTTACCGGTGCCCCAAGACATCTACACGTAAGTGCCGCCAGCCACCTGCCCTACCCTTCAAATCGAAAGTCATTACTGCTTCACGGCAGAAATAGGCAGGATGGTGGTACCTACCCGTGCGGGCTCACAAAACGTCCTATCACTAGTAATTACGCACATTAAAAAGTAAGTAAGAAGTAAATCGTGAACATTTATTGAGGACATATTTCATTAGAGAAATTGGTACAAGCCTGCGGGGTTCGAACAGCGGTGCATCGTTAGATATGAATTTACCGGACGTCTTACTCTTTAGGCCATGACAACGTTCTCCCTTACTGCTCTCTTGAATTACAAATTGAATTAGTCTACTAACTAAAACCAAACGTGAATACAAACGCTATTTGTTATACTACCGCCTGTATCTACCGCGTGACAATCATACTTCCTACGCTAAAGTTCGGTAGAACTGAGATTTTGAGGTATGATCTCAAAATGGGTAGTTTCATTCACTTTTTATTTATTTATTTTTTATTGCTTAGATGGATGGACGAGCTCACAGCCCACCTGGTGTTAAGTGGTTACTGGAGCCCATAGACATCTACAACGTAAATGCGCCACCCACCTCGAGATACAATAGAACCGAAACGCATTGCTGCTTCACGGCGGAAATAGGCGGGGTGGTGGTACCTACCCGTGCGGACTCCCAAGAGGTCCTACCACCA